CGTTCTTGACAGGTTAGCCTCTGACCCCCTCTTCCATTTGGAAATGAAAGGCAAAGAGGTCAATCAAGTCCAGTCTTTAGTCTTCTTTTAATTATATATACCACTAAAAAGAAGACTTGTTTACATTAAATTTTTCTCAGTAATTACGAGACACACTCAGGCATTCTGAGGGGGAAGTGTGATAAGCAGCCTTGGTCCTAATAGAAAAAAGACCACAGAACAAGGGGAGACGTGTTCTCGCTTTGCAAAATAGTCAGTATGTGATTCATTCAACACATAATTGACATAATTGAAAAGAAATAGTTAATCACTTAAAAGATAGTAATGTATTAGGTGAAATCCTTCCTGTAATTTCATTTTCTCAAATTCTGAAAACACCATCTTTCAGCAGACTGGCATTGCGAATGCTATCTGAGACTGCACTTGTGCAGGGGATTATTTAGGCTATAAAGGGACTTGGCATGTCCATTATTTTGAGAACTGTATTAGTTTAAAGGAGAAAACCTATTCCTTCAAACACAGCACAAACTCAATCTCTTGCCTAGAAGTAACGCAATGTCCCTTCACACCAGTCCTGGAGTGCACAATGGAAGTGTGACTTTGTTTTCTCACAAAAGAATGTAAGTGTTTCTGTTCTATCCTGCCCTAGGATGGAGGTCTGCCACCCCCAAGCCCTGTATAGCCTGTTTACCACTAACCTGGCCCCCGACTGACTGTTTTCAGTTTCAGGTTAGTGGATAGTTTCAAGAGTTGATGACTTAGATGGAATGAGCCCAGACACCACCACCTGAACTGAAAAGGTGCTGCTTCTCATTAGAGGTTATGTTAAAAGAAGATTTGGTGGAAATCAAGTTGTTACAGCACTGGTTATCGGCCATGAGATTTGAGGAGTTGCATTTGCTCTCCTTTTCTGTACCATATCCTAGGAATGCTAATATCTGAAATATATTTACACTATTTTAACCAGCTATTCAACCAACCAAAAACATAGTTATCTGCTTTCCATTTAGAAATCTTTTTCTATTCTGGCTGCTTCCCTTCTATTCATCCTTCCATTTCTCATGAACTTTATCCTGCATCTGTTCCCATAGCAACTTGGTCAAGCTGCTTATGTTTTCATAAGGGTTTCTGGAATATGCAAATCATGAAACCTTAAAGGAGAATGACCCAGTCGTAGAATGTCAGATAGTAAGACCTGAGGAAAAAAAAAAGGTCTTCTTTAATGTCAGTCAAGTATCCTGTTTTCCTTTGAGACCAACTTTCAAAATCTTTTAGTGCTTGTTCAAGTCAATTCTATTTTACAGAAGGCAAGTTTTTTTTTTTTAAGGTTAGATATGCATTCCAATGAAAAAAATCATGTCTTTTTTTCCCCAGAAAATTTTGTTGTATTTCCCATAAATAGATGATAATGCGTTAGATGTGTGCCACTGTACTAAAGGGTGCTAGAAAATTCAGATAGGAGAGTCCTTGTAGCCCAAGAAGTCAGCTTTTGAAATTAACTACTCTACAGCAGTACTCACCACTATGTGCTCCTTCATGTGATCAATTCTTGACTTAGCCCAACCTCCCTACCAGGTACAGGTGGCTAGGAACCTTGGAGTTACCGCAGTTGAATTTATAAGATAACTTTATAAGACTCAGCTTTGAAATGCAGCCAATATGAGCTCTAAGTGATTGTCAAAGTTTGCTCACAGAATATATCAGTGCAACTGCTACCCATGACAGTCTTTGCTAGGCTGTGCAGCTTATTTAGTGCGATCCATATGCCAGGCAAGTGCCCAGGCCACCTGTGTTGCCGCCTTCCGGCACACACCACTGACATTTCTCACATTCACATCAATTGTTAAGCTTTAACTTTATATTCCATGTCTTTTCTCTCCTATTCAGATCGAAGTAGAAACTTGTTTGGCAAAAAGGCAGATCATCATCAGTGACATTTGCGTTGTACCAAAAGGAGGGTAGGAGAACATTTTTCACTGGCAGTAAAATGAAAGCAAATGTTTTTCTTCACTCCCTTTAAAAACTCTTCATGATGTGAGGACTGCTGCTTTACTAACTTCATAAGATTTTTGGAAATTGAAAGGACAGGAAAAGTCAGGAACATCAAGGTAGGTGAGTCTCTGAACAGAAGGAGGGACTCTGAGTTTCGTGTTCATTATTCTCTCGAGGATGCAATCCCGTTCCCACAGTTGATAAAATCTTGAACCGTGAGACTGCTGCTTTACCCCCAAATATTGGCAGAGTGACAATCAGATCTGCCTTTCACACACACTGCTGCTTAGTCCCATGTGATGTCACTTAGAACTATAAGAGAAAAAGTCAGTGAGTTGGGATCACACAATAGGAAGTTGTGACAAATTACATCTGAAAATCCTCTTCATCTTTGTCACATATGTTTCTTCCCATGCAAGACAGAGATTTTTGGTCTAGTAATGGAAACATAAAAGGGATTTGACAATTCCTCCAAAGTAAGAGTGAGATACAGCCAACATAGTATAAGGCCAATTTTACCAGCTCTTCTGTTCTGCATCTCTGAATATCTTGGTGTCTATCTCTCCTGGAACCACACCAGCTTGCAGAAAGGTCTCATCTTGTGCCTCTCCCCAAGATGTGGATGCAGAACTAATAAGCTCATCTCCCAGGGTTCCTTAGACTGTAGTAACAAGAGCCTATCAAATTTTTACTAATGGACTCATTTAAACTGGGTAGAGGGGGAGGAAGTTATGAACAAACTATGTACTGTAGGCCAAATAGCAAATAGGGGTCATTGTCTGTTCATTAGAAATAAGGCTTACTGGAACTCTGATATATTTATTTGTGCCTTTTCTCTGGCCGCTTTCACTCTGCAGATTCAGAGCTGCCATGTACTTGCAGTAGGTCCCATGTGGCATAAACTATTTGCTGCCTTGTTCTTTAATAAAAATAAGCTACCTGACCTTCTTGGTTGAATTATTCTCACACTACAGTTTTGCCATTGTAAAGTTAAACTAGAGAAAAGGAAAGCTAGTATTTCCATTCACTGAAGTCAAATTGAAAAAAGTTAAGATTTAAATATAGAAGTGGAATACATGTGATCATGCTATCTGAACTGGCTACCAATTAGGGACATTCAAGGGAATAACTTGGATTTATTGGAGAGCCACATTTTCTGGCCCTTTGTTAAACAATTGCCAAAAAGTTGGTTCTTTGAATTTCTTATGTCAAATAAATTTAGGCATTCCTGGAGATACTGCGGTGTTGGCATAAAACCAAACAAATGTGCACACACCCAAGTGCCCATGTTTTATGACCCTGGCCCCTGGAAGGCTGGCCTGCTCCAGAGCGGTCATAAGGCCCAGGCATATGGGGTGCTTCACCTAAGTCCCTCACTTGGAAACGCTTTTCCGCACTGTGCCAGATCTGCAACTGTCGAGTTTGCTGCACATCTGTAGTTCCTTTTGTCTACTATAAATGGAGAATAAAACGGAACAGGCAGGAACATGTACACTCTCGTTCAGTAAATTAACAGCGTCCATGGGTACACAGATGTTTTGGTGGCAATTATTTTCTTGTAAACGGTGAATTAAAAATCATAAACTCTCATAGCCATTATGGATTAGAGTTAATGTAGTTTGAAATCTATGAACTGCATTGGTAGAAAAGGAAACAGTAGCTGGTAAATGATGTATTTGGTATTGCCCATTGCTCCTTTATTTTTCTTTTATAAAACCCAATTCCATTCTCTAGGTTTGATTTTCATGCTGGTCTCCTTGTTGATCGGAAAATGAATTTGACATAGTCATGGTGTTCATGGGTTATAAACGAGACATCTCATCCTTTGTCAAAGTGGCTGTGAAATATTCAACCTAATTCCCCCCCCCCCTACATTCAGGCATTTTTTGGGTATTCTTTCATTATTCAATATATGCCTTTTCAAGAATGTATCTATTTTTTGGACCTGCCTGTCTCTGTAAAGCCAGACTTCCCTTGCTGCCATCCTCCTCTCTTGATTTTCTTCTCTGAACCTGACTGCTTTCTAGTTGGGCCTTTGGTTCTTAGATTCTGGGTTCCTTGGAAACAGGGAGGCACACACTATCCTTTCTTGGCAGACATGCACCTTCCCTTTCAGAGAAGAAAGAGGCAGGTAGGATATCTGTGAGAATAAAGAACAAAAAATGGAAATGACAGAGCAAGTCAAACAGTAAGAAAATAGACTTTGCTTCAAAAGGAAAAAAATGGTACCAAAAGAAAAGGAAATGAAAACTGCTGGTGAGATTCTTCCTGATCATTCTGGGGCATGAGGTAGGGTAGTGAAAGAGGAACCATTGTCAATGCCTTCTCCCTGCGAGTTACCCCTTCAGCTGTACCCAACCTGCCTGTCCCACCACTGCTCCACTGGAAAGCATCGCACCTGTCTTTCTCACACAGAGCAAAGCCTGTTATCACATTCCCTCTGTTCTCAGCTCAACCCCAGTTCCGCAGCGCAGTGATTGTGTCAGGATGAGCAGCGTACTCACTCACAGTGCTAGCTAAGCCTTTTGCTTATTTAATGCTTTCTGCCTTCTGTCTTGAGTTCTCATCCTTGAGCTTTCCTTTTGTGAGGTACCCACATTTGCAGACTGAGCAGGGTCCCAAAGGATCAAGCAATGCTGAAGGTTGGAATAGGTATAAGAAAGCTGCTGTTTTGTGTCACTGGCTCAACGCTCTTCTTGGATCCCTGACAAGCAACAGGTTGACACTGACTAAACCCATTTCGGTGGCCCAGTGAGCAAACGTGGATATAAAACCAGGATCAAAGAGAATTTTTTTCCATATTGTCCCAAAAGAAAACTAGGATGGCAGGAAATGCCCTATCTGGGATCATATTCTTGCTCTTTCTCCACCTAGCTAGACCTCACATGAAGTATAGTCAGAGCAATCCACAAAGTTGGCAGGGCCTGGAAATCACATGGATACACCCATACCACTTTATTTTCCAAAGCTTTATTCATAGAATCCTTCCAGAAGGTGCCCCCAATTACCTGTTGATACTGTTTTTCTGTGCCAACATCTGCCAGTCCTTGCCTTTGGCGTTGGGGGTATCAAATGTAGCACAAATTCGTTGTCTAATGGAGTAGGGAATTTTGAAGGCTTTGGGGCCAGTCTGTGCAGGGAAACTGCTGTCCTCTTGTGCAAAGAAAGTGATGGTTTCTCTTTCACTCTATATTAAAAAAAAGAAAAAAGAAAAAAAAAAGATCAAATCCAACTGTAAGCAATTTACTGGTCAAAACTTTTAAAGAAATTTTGTGTTAATACACATGTTAAAATTACCTTTTCCAGTTGTGATGGGCTCTATAAAACATTGATAATTCCCCCTCCTAAAAAAGTAACCTAATAGCTCAGTAAATTGTGTATGGGAGATTCACCACTATTTTCTAGTCAGGGGAGACAAGTCTGCAGTGTCCAGCATCCAAAAAGAGATCAGGTAAGAAAAGAATGGATTTTGGGGGGCTCAGAGTAGATCTAGAATCAGCAAAAGAAACTACCAAGTGACATATTTCAATTCAGCGCAAGGAATGATGCCCTGATATTTATAAGTGACCAAAAATCTCAGGCTGATTAAAGTTGCTGGTAGAAAGCCACTTGTGAGGAAAGCAACTGAGGGGAATTGATTGTTGATCACCTGGAAGTATGTGTTTCCCCCAGTCCTAAAGATTTGTGATTCTGAAGTAAATATTTTTCTTATAATTAAACTGCTTTAGTAAAAATATGAGCCATTCTTAACTCAATGGTGAGAACTAGACTTACCTTGCGATGGTGCAGGCCAGAGGGCTTCTGCCTGCGACCTGCCCAACCTGCCTCTGATTAGAGTTGTCCAATGAGGATTTGTTGTTTTAGTACATCACAGTTAGCAGATCATCATATCCAACATGTAATTAACACAGAAATCCAACAGACCTGAATGACTGCTAATTTTTGTGCATAAACAGACTTTTAATGCCTGAAAAGTAGTTGAGTTACCCTATGATTATGTGTTACAAGACACAAGGAATCCTGCAAATGTAATCACAATCCCTACTCAGTTGGTGACAAATACATTAAAAGAGATTTTCCTGGGTGTACCTCACTGATCAAGTGGCTCTGACGAGAAAGGATAAACTTTTAACTGGAAGCAAGCAAATGACGATTCTGTGCACTATAACAGGGTGCATCTTTTGACCTGAGGAGTCGCTGAGGGTGACCTCTGTCTAACAACCAATTAAAAAAAAAGGGGGGGCCTCTTTGGGTGCAAAGTCTCAGTGCTACCACTGCAACCACCTATGTTTGATCCCAGGGAGCTAATCCACACATGGTGCAGCAGCCCTCTCCTGTCTCACCTCTGCTTCAGTAGATCTGTCTATACTGTTCCTCACTGTGTCTGATGAATCCTCTCACCCCCACAATCCCCCTACTCACCACACACACCTCTACAGTTTTATGCAAAAGTAAATATTTTAAAAATGGAGATTTTTAGATTTAATAGCCAGAAGTAACTAGGTTCTGTCAACAATCTCTATAATGGAAAGGGCACTGAGCTGCAGATGAGAATGGTTGTGTTCATTACAGCCACAACTGTGATTTCAGTTTTATGTGATTCATATCAGATCAACAGTCCAGTAGTGGCAAGAACTGTGAGCCAATAAACAGGTGTTGATTTATAATGCTAAAGTAGTGGTAATTTGTTATGTAGTAAAATAAACCAAATTAAAAGGGAAATTAGAACATCAAAGCTGAGATTGGACTAAAACAATCTAGTTAGGGCAGTTTAAACCCCCAAACACTATCTTTCACATTAGGAACAGAGCATACTGTGCTGTCCTTCAGGTCCACACACTCCCTGGGAGCCCTGTGATCTGCCCTGGTGCATTTCTCAGTCTTTACTCATCTTCCTACTACTGGCACCACAGACACAATAGTCCTTCTCAGCCATAGCTCAGGCTGCAAGGCTTTACACCTTCAGCCTCGGTGCACACTGCTTCTTCAGAAATCTGCTAGTTGAAAAACTGGTTCACCTAGATATCTTTTTTTTTTTTTTAAAGGATTTATTTATTTGTGCATACAGAACTGGGGTATAGGCCAGAGGCTCAGGGGTGGCAAGAGGCTTCACCAGAGACAGAGTGGGGAACAGAACAGGCAGATCGAGGAAGTACACTGCTGAGGGGAGCAGCGGGCAGGTCAGGAGAGGTCTGCCACACCATGTGGTCACCTCTGGGGCAGGCGGGAATCGAACTCATGCGGTAGTGGCTTTAGCTTCTTAGTGCAGTGCTTTAACCCGCTGCGCCACCAGGGAGGGCCCTCACTTAGATATCTTAATGATTGATGCTGTGTTTGGCTTTCTGTACCCATTTAACACAATGACATTTTGGGAGTTGTGATTTGGAAACAATGCGTAAATTTTCATTTCAGAGAGAATCTCAGCTGATGTTATAAGGAAATGTTGTTCCATGGCCAAATGCATTGGAAAAATGCTGCATATTCTAACTTATTGGGAATGCAAAGTACATATTATCATTTTGAATATATTCTACCTTGCTGGCTTTAGTTTTATTGCCTCGAACAATGTATGTCACAGTGTTTGGGGTGAACAAATTGTAATATAAAAAGCATGGGTTTTAGCGTCAGATAGCATTTGTTCTAGAGTATGAATCTACCATTCCTAGTGCAGTGTAATTATGGATGCTACATAACCTCTCCCCAGCTTCTATTTCCTGAACAATGATATTTAATTAGATTGCACAGAGGTTTTAAAATTTGATAAAAGTTACCCAGATAGCTGACACAGCTGAAATCTGAATTCTCATATCACCATGCCACCTGCTTTGAGACGAATACCAAGAAATCTAGTGGGGTGGTTACGAAAATAAAAGCTCGTGAGTGGTATTAGCACTTTGCTAATTAGGAACTGAGTAAAAATGGCTTCTTAGAGGAGCCATTTGAGATGGTTCTAAAGGATGGGTAGCTATGGATTGAATAGAAATTAAGTGGATAAGTGATTTCAGGCAAATAGTGGACAATCCTCTTTGTTTCATTAATGGTTACAAAATAAACAACTCAGTCTTCTTGTTACGTAAGTTACAAGATAACATCATTTCCATCATACTTCATGAAGTTTCATATAGCCAAAAGGAATAACTTCCTTAAATACTGCCTAACTTAAGGATGGACAGTGTTTTTTAAAAGGATGGTAGAAACTACACAGAGTAAAAAAAAGGATTTCTACACATGATAACATTGTAGTTGTCATTGTAAAATAACACCAATAGATTTAATCTGACAAAAGGTGACTTGAAAATATAGCTGAAAATATCCAAACTAGAGATTTTTGCAATAGACAGTCTACATGACAACTTTGAATTGACTAAGATGACCAAGCTCTGACTTTACTGTGGGCAAAAAGACCCACCATCTTGAGACATCTTAAGAAAAAACGATGGGACTATGGTGATGGCACATGGGTGACTCGGTGATGGGAAACCCATGGGGATTACAATTGAGATGAAAAAAATAATGTACAAAATGATGTAAAAATAAACTATTATGTAATATATATATATATATATATAACAGCAATATCTGAAATACTTGCACTTAAAAAAAAAACTGGACAGGGTAGTGTAATTTAAAGATCACTAAAATATTATACAAGACTGACTCAAGAACTATGTTATCCAATTAGCTCACTTTAATAAGTACCTCCATTTCCTTCATAAAGTTTTCAATTTTAAAATTTTCCACACATAAGGATGACACTTTATGTAACATTTATGATTCATTCTAAAAGACATCTGGGCCAAGTAATAAGAATCCTGTAGATGCATCACATTTTCTGATTGTTTAAATTAAATATGCAGAGGAACAGTAGATTTTCATGCTCTGCACATCTGAGATAAGCTGCTGCTACCTGGATAGCTTGGGAGTTGTAAATCAATGAGAAATTCCAAGTATTCTGTCCATTTTCTAACAGACACATCATCTCCCAACTTCTACCACTTTTGGAAAAAAGATAAGAGAATTGCTTAAAAAAAATTATAAGATGTAAGATTCCAATGTAAATAGTTTTGAACAAACCATAGATTATTTAATGATGTTGCCTTAATAAGGAATGATAAATTACTCAGGGATTCTTCCCTTTTCAATATTAGCATAATGATTTTGCTTTAGTCCAGTTTTTACACTGGTGATATTTTCACTTTATAGAGTATCAATTGATAATCATCATGAGGCTATTGAGTTGCATTAATTTTAAAGGGAATCCACTTCCACAGTAATAGCCACTGTAAAGAACAGAGAAGATAAGTTAGCAGTAGGGTTTCATTGACTAAAAATCTGGTGGCGCAGCAGGTTAAAGTGCAGCACTGTGAGCTGGCCTAAACCTCTTCAGTGCCAGTTTGATCTCTGCCCAGAGGTGATATACATGGCATGACAGACTTCTCCTGACCCACCTGTTGCTCCCCTCTGCAGTGTACTTCATCGATCTGCCTGTTCTGCTCCCCACTCTGTCTCTGGTGAATCCTCTCCCTGCCCATGCACCTCTGGCCTGCACCCCAATTCTGCATGCATGCAATAAATAAAATATTTAAAAAAAATATGGAAATAAAGCTTCTGAAATTGTTAATAGACATGTTTATATTATTTTCAGAATACCCTCTCCCCTCAAACAAAAATCCCTTATGTTTAGGCACAGAGTTTCCACTTTATTTTAATAAATTCTATTAGTATTGCTATTTCAGGAATTCCTGATGAATGAAATGATTTTAGCTGAATGATATGGACAATTGTATCTCTTGAAAACAACTCAGATAAGTGACATGGCGAGATATAATGGATGTGAAGATGAATGTGAAAAAATCAAATGTCATCAAGATCATGATTACTGCATTAATTTAGATACTTAAAATCAATATTATTTTGTTTATAATATGTATCTATGATCTCTCATAGTTTCATTTTTGAATTTCTGAAATAGCAATACTGATAGTGGGAACTTTGTGCCTAAATCTACAGGGATTTTTGTTTGAGGGAAGAGGGAATTCTGAAACACATCTATTAATGCATCTATTAACAACTTCAGAAGTTTTATTTCCAGATTTTTAATCATTGAAACACTACTCCTAACTTATTAAGCTAATGTAATACACTGTTTCAGACCTGTGGCCATGCAGTATGATGTTCTTTAATACCTGATCTATTATTCTAATTCACGGATTAATACAGACTCATCTCTATAATGTATCCTGCCTCTAGTAATCACAATTTCTCAACACTTTCTGTGTCTTCATTTGTTCTCCTGAAATAAAAAAAACAAACAACAACAACAACAAAAAAGTCATCTTTAGGGGGAAAATATTCACTACCAGCATCACTAGAGGTAAGCCTGTCCAGGAGTGAGGCTGTCTCAAGGTTGGAAGGACCTTGAGTGATTATCAATCAAGACTGAATTTACAGGTAAATCTATATGTAGGAAATCTATTTTATTCTTGAACATCTTTCAAATGAACTCATATTCTAGGCCATCACACAAATAGCTGCAGCCATCCTTCTGCGGTCTTGAGGAAAGAAATTCCCAGTTTTCATATTCAAGACAGGACTGCTGGTGCTGTGATGTTGAATCACCAGTGCCTCAGTCCCCAAACAGAAGGTATATATTATAGTGAAGTCCAAAGTTAAGATTGAGACATCAGACGTCCTTATTTGGAATTCTGAAATAGAGTAGTATGGAAATCCAGACTTTGAACTTAAGGCCAGGTATCTCAGTTGGGAACCCTGATTTTCATCCTGTTATTTCTCTGGTTTCGACAGAAAGGCAGGTCTCTCTTAAACTGCTTAATCACATAAAGTTGGGGTTCATACAGTACTTAACCCACAGCTTTTTGCTTGTTGTATATGAAAGCAGATGAAATGGTTCCTGAAATATAGTAGTTTTCGAATGTTATTTTCTTCAGACATAGAAAATTAATCAGATTTGTCTAAGAAAGTTTGTGACAAGATATGGAGATAAACTGGCTAATTTCCAGCAGTAGCACTTGAAATAGTAAAATCTTATCAAGAGATGCTGTGATGTCATTTTTTCAAAGCATTTCAAGCTGAGTTATGAAGTATTGTTAAAAGAATTAGAGGGTAAAAGCTAAGACTGTATACTAGCTCATTATTTTCTATGCACTTCCAGAATTTACATAAGTAAGGGACAAAGGTGCTAGGAATACCAACCTAGCACAATCCTTTTATACAAATATGCTATAATAGTCAAATTTGACCCTCAATTTCTGCATGCCTTCAAAAAAAATAAAACCCTTTAAAATCACAATTATTTTTCTTGATCTGTTAACATTTTTTTAGGACAGTTTGCATCAGAGGCATCTTTAAGGTCTGCCTCTTAATGCTTACCTTGAATACTAGCTCTTTTTAGAATTATGTATTATGTTAAATATGCCATGACTGTTCAAGAAAGATATTCTAAAATATCTTTCCTCAGGACCCACTTGAATCTACCTTCCCTATCAAAACTACTTTAGTGCATATTGCTAATTGGCAATAATGAATGCAAATACTGCATAAGCATGTCAGTTAAGACAGCTATCAATTTTGAGGCACAATCCTTTGGAAAGCTATCTACTCTTCAGAAAAACTATTTGGGGAATTAACAATACTCATTTTGCATAAACAATGAATTGAAATGAGAATGGAGAAAAGTAATAATGCGGTAAGACTATGAGCTTTCAAAGAAAAAAAAAACACCTAAAATTGTGTTTCTTATATGGGTGTTATACCTTCTGTTAAGCCTAAATGAAATATTATTTGTGTTTATATACAAACTGTGTATGTGTACATAGATATATTGTATACATACATATTAATATGGTATACAGGTGAACAATAAAATGTTTCCTAATTTATCCAGGCATTATTTTAGACTTGATAAACAAATGTCTCATGTGATTCTACCCTTCAGCTACTCCTTCCATGTATCCCCACATAACCATCCATAACCCCACATACCATTGTCTACTCTCGAAGCTGAAGTCCAAAGCCATGAATTCATTCAGTGGTTTAGAATTAATGGATCATTGCAGAGACCAAACATCTTTTTGCAAAAGTTCCAAGTGAATTAGCCTTTGATACTCATTCTAACTCTGTTCTTCAATAGTGATATAACGTTGGGCGGCTCCTCTCCCTTTTTGTACTTCCTTTTCTTACTTCGTAAAATGCAAATAACATCTATGTGATCTTATGGTACTGATGAATCTAGGTTTAATGGAAATGGGAATGCACAGAACCCTGGAGAGTATGAGGAATTTTAAGACAGTAAGGGACCAAGATTTTGATAAAATAACACCCACGGGGTAACTGATAAGGAAACCTAGTCAGAACCATCAGAAAAAGGCTAATGGTGACCTTGTGTCTTTTATGGTCTGTGTCTCAACTGTATTGTCGGACAATAATGGATGCTGGTTGGTAGCCTAAATTTTCAATGGACTGTTAGACTTTTTAAATATAAAAAGCCGGGAGCAGTTCCTCCCCAAAGGTCCCACCACAGAGTCTAAATTCTGAGGGGTTAAGTTCTTACCAGTGGGAAGCTGTTCAATCTTCCGCCTGGGAAAAAGTTCATTTTCCCTTTATCAGTCATGAGGATTAAAAAAGACAGTGCATTCTGTCGCTCTCTCAGAACCTGCACAGCACCACTTAAATAGGTGAATTATTTTAATGGCCCTTGAGAGATGGGGTCAAAAGGCTTTGTAGACCAAAGGCTCACCTCTAGGATTGACGTCTGTACTTGAAGAATCTGTTCATGGCCTTTGAGCTGCCGGATGCAGATTTTGCAGGACAGCTGGGTGGTGGTGGGTGTGTAGCGCTCTAGGGAGAAGGCACAGTGCAGGGGCTGCCGGTTGCTGCACCACACGCGGGAGAATGGTACTTCCTGCAGGGGCGAGGAGAAGGGCATGGTATGTGAATTCGAGCTGAGGTGCATGTAGAACAGAAGAGACTTAATAGCAATAATTATGATGATGATGATGCTGATCACAGCAGAGATAATTGCCTAACTGACTTTGGTGGAATTGTTGTAGAAATAATACTCCAGCATATGCCAAAGCAGCACAAAAGTAATTAATGTCAATTTCAATTGATAACATGAATTGCAAGCCACGCTGCAAGAGCTCAGATTTCAGTTGGTGACATACACAATTAGAAAGAATACCATCAAAATTCATTTTTTTCCTGCTTGAAAAATTATTCTTCAGAAGACATCTACCGGCCATTCTTCAACCTAAGTCTGGGGTAGAATATTTTGTTGCTTACATGAAAATTTTGTGACTGACCAGAACTTATGCCCACACTACACACTGAGAACATGATAGAACACAATGCTGCTAATGTATCCACACAAAAATGACACCTGTTACAAAGTGCATCCCAAACACACATGCACACACACATGCATGGGCATACACATACACTCTCATACCCCACTTTGGGTTTTGTCTTTTGTTTAAGTTTAATCCCTCTGCGAGGCCTCTGTGTGACACTGTGTCATTTCACTGACTTCCTTTTACAAATGTAGGCTGTTAGCATGCACTATCATCCTGACCATCCTCAGTTCACTCCTACATGGAAGGGGCTGGAATCCTGAAAACTACGTTTCATAGGCTTTCTGGCCAGCAGAGTGTTCACATTTCCACTCTGCCAGTGAGAGGCATCGTGCTGATGCCTTGGAAAGGCATCCCAGCTCCTCCAGTGTCAGCAGACTGACCCAAACACATCAGCTGTCCATACATGTGAGCTTTGGAGAAGCTTGTGGGCATTCCCCTGAATACCCCCTGTGTCAGTGCTATTGCACAATCTTGAAATACTTGAACTTGCTTATTTCCTAAGTAGCTTTCTCTAACTTTGACTCTCCTAGGCTTTCCAAAGGTTTTAGAAGTACACAAGCTCCTTGATTCAGTTTCTACTTGGTTGATATATCTTAAGCAGTTACTTTGCCCTTAACCAAAACACTGTTCTAGTGAAATTCAAGTGGATTTGAAGTTCTTTCATAAATTAACAAGAGTGGGACAATTCTTCAAGGATGCTCTCCTTTAGAGGCACCTTGAGAGAAGCACTAGGCTAGTGGTCACTAGGACCACTGGGCAGGACCACAAATTGTTTACATCACCAGCAAGATGGTCCACTTAATGGAGCCTCTTTGTTCTCTTGTCTGGTCTCACTTATGCACTCTGCTCTTTATTCCTTGTGGTAGACTCTATGGCAGAGGGCTCTTGTGATCGGGACAGCTCCCCACAACCTTTAGAGGAACGTATTTTCCCTGAAATACTCAAAAAAGCTTTTCACCTACACCAAATGCTTCACCATAGAAAGGCAGTAATATGTGTTTATAACTTCTGCCTTTTCTCCCCGTCTAACCTGATCCTTTTTAAGGTTCATCTCCCGAAGCTTCCTACCATTTTTGTAAACTGTGGGTAATCTTTGCATTCAATTGCAGCCTCCAGCACTTCTCTGCCTCCCCGATGAACCTTTCAAGGTCTCATCTGCTCACACAGACCAATGAGCTCCTCTCCATGGAAGAATCCAGTGGTGACCTATCTAGCATTGAAGTTGTTATACTGGTAGTAGACCTGAATCTGATCTTAAAAAATAATTTTATTTGGCCTTTACTTCTTCAGGCAAGTCTACCTTTGATCACAGTCTCTTAATCACTGTCCTATTTTTGTCTGACTTGGAGGGAGTGTTTATTTTTATTGAAGGTCTGTGGTTTTACACCCCTGTTAGTATTTTGATAGCACAGGATTCCCCTCAGTTGTGCTCATGGTAGCACGTTCACTGCCAAAGCACCCAGTCTCCCATCATGCCCAACATCATTGCCATTCCCCAGTGTCCTACCTCTGGTAACCACCTCCTCTCCTATCACTTTAGTTAACTGTAGTAACTTACTAATCTGTCTTCAGTCGCCACTACATGTAACTGATGAGGGAGCTGGCACTAGAGAGGGAAACAGAAAGCAGGTGATTGGTATTCTTATCAGGGGGCCGCACTGAGGTCTCTGGCTGTAATCATTAGAGGGGGATACCCAAAGGCTGTCTTTAATTCTTTATTATGCGATTCCTTTGCATGGAGGACCAGCTAACCCCCTGGTGATGGCTTTGACCATAGTCTTCTGCTATGTTCTCCCACAGCTTCTGTCATCTAATGCTCCATCTGTATTGCATGCTTATTTTAACAGGCCTGGATTAAACTCTGTTCCAAACCAGTATCAAGCCGCATCGTCCCATTCAATGAAAGCAACTTCTGACATGGGGCTCTGTGGTTAACATGAGCTTTCTCATAAAGTGGCTTTGCCAACCAGTGTAATTTGTTTTCTTCTCTAAAACTGAAATTTGAGTCATTGAAGTACATTATAAGCTCTGGACTGCAGGGCCAGGTAGAGTTGAATTCGAGTTCAAAGAATTGAACTCTGAGAGTAGATTTGAGTCCTTGGCAAGTGCTCACCTTCTTAACAAAAATGCCACTGACCATCATTGAAGCCTATCTTCTCTGATAGCACTTGCTAAATTTCTTACATGTTCTCCTGAAAACACTGGAAGAATGGCAAAGAAGCAGTGCTCTGTGCAGAGATGATCTTTCATTGCAGACAGACATGAGACTCAGCACACCCACAGAATTCTCTCTTCCTCTTTCCATCCTGCTGCACACAATCAAAACATTTTTAAAATCTGATTTTTAAGACCATACCAAAAGAATATTTTTTTGTTGTTGACTTGAGTAGCAGCTGTCAATAGTTCTCAACAAAACATTTTAAAATAATAGAATTAGAGTCAGTGTGATTAGTGTGTTTTTTAGGGCAATCATCTTTGCTTTTATTTATTCAAGAAAGAAAATACACCACCAAGCTGCTCACTGAGCTGAGAAGAATTATGTGAAAAGTAATATGGGAGGACAAAGTGTAGCAAAGTTATGGGTGTTTAAAGAATTCCGGAAATGTTTTCATTTTGATTCCCATTATAATTAGACGCCTAGCAGATGGAGAGAATGTAAATCACGTCCTAGCAGGAGACACACACTGGCTTCTGCAACACACATAGCGTGTGGGGAAAGACAGCTGCTTTTATCCTAGGGAGGTGACAGCCTGACTTTGTTTTGTGGATTTAAAAAATAAATATTTTATTGTATACCGTTTATTATAGATTTCCCATCCACGATCAGCAAGAAATAAAGGAATCTGTGATTGTGTAGCTATCAAGTTTCAGTCACCTATTGAGAGCAGAGTCGTTGCCTCCTAGAAGAGGGCTGTAAGACCTGTAGAGGGGGTAAAAGCCTCGCTCAAAAAGTGGGGGACTCAAACCTGTAAATGAAGAAAAGGGAATCAGTCATTGTTTGGGGAGGTCCACTACTAGGGGCCTCTTTGGTTGATTTGAATAAAAATCGATGGATTTTATTGTATCCTGAGCTAAGAATTCATATGTCCTTTTTTCTCACACATCATTTCTACTCCATAGGTAGTAAAGACTATAGCTAATTACTCCATAAGTTATAGCCCTTCAAAAACTCAGCCAACATGGTTTAAACCCTAGTTGTTCTCCCTATAGATAGGTTCTGAGCACACACAGCTCTGGATCCAACCTTGAATTCTCCCTGTTATAAACACTTTCTTATACAGCTAGCTGGTGTCTGATAGGGAAAATATTCCATGCATTGGGTATCTCTTAGACCTAAGTCTTCCTGGGAAATTCCAGCTCTTTTAGAAGAAAAGAGGAAAGTTTCTCTTGAAAGAGTAGATTTGTATACCAACTGGAATATGCTCACTCCCAGATTTCTGATTTGAAGTTACAGAATGTGATAGAAGAACAAGAAGGTAAGAATACCAGAGATTTATATGCACAGAGTTGGAAGATGACAAGATTTACTAGTTGAAAAAGACCTAAACTTATGTTAGGATTAGTGAGATTTTCTATCTCCACAGTAGCTCTCGATTAATTCTTAACCAAGTCCTAACAAGGAAGCATTCATTGTCACCCAAACACAATTTGTCAGCACACAGACTGTTCTACATGTGGTTCAAGCTGGCTGAGCACAAATCTTTCCAAAGTGCTTACAGCTGATGCTTAGAGAAAACACAGCATGTCCCTGATGTAAGGTGAGGGATTTCAGTCCGGACTGGGCAAGGAAGGAGTCAGAGGGGTGGTGAAGAGAAAGGAGGAAAAGAGCCAAAGGCCATCTGTGGGTAAGAAAAATGAAGAGGAAGCAAAAACTCAGTGGCCAGCTTCCTGGTGTAGAGAAAATGAAATTATTTCTCAGTCTTCCAGGACTCAAATTATGCTCAATTACAGAAGGCAAATATTTAAGCATGTTCACAGCCTCCACACAATCCAGCCCATCCCAGCAGGAAAGCTTGTTGAATTTCATTGCAAGTCAAATGCCCTTTAACTTGGAGGTTAACAGGCACTTATCTCCCCAAGCCTTTTCTCTATGGGGCTCCTCTGGAATCTTGGTGTTGGAATTATTGTTTAAGTGCTGCTGCTGCAAGGTAGTGGTTCTCCCACCTTAGATTTTATCTCCAAACATTAAAATTAAGTTTCTCAGGACTGAGTTACTTCCATTAGATCCAATAAAGTTAAGTCTTTCTAACCTCTAGAGATTAGTGAAGACAAAATTGTATGATGATTAAGACTTGTTCCAATAATGCCCTAAAGTTCAACGTGGACTAGACTTTACTGGGAAACTAAACACATAGGCCTAGAACATCATTAACAATTTATTCAAAGAAAACATGAAGGAAAATGTCAAAACAATACGCAAGGTCACAAGAGATGACCTTGTTGCTTTGAAAACACTGAACTGTATCTAGAGGGAACATTTCCCAAAGTTATGAAAAAAATAGGAGAATGGGGTATTGTCTAACTTGATTAGAAGAGACAGAAATCAAGAAAGCAGTCCCATTCACAATTAATAACGAAAATGATTAAATAGCTAGTAAACTGAACAACAGAAGCGAAGGACCTGAACAATGAAACTAAAAGACATTGTTAAAAATAGAAGAAAATTCTGAACTTTGGTAGTTCAACTTTCATCAACTTTGTTCTAACTCTCATGGTACAGTCAAATTTTTCTGTGATTTAGCTTGTTTTCTTCTGACAAGCAGGTGCTACAAGTTTGTAAAGGTTCAAAAAAAAAAAATCCATAGGGCTCTGAAAATTATACTTATCAGAACAAAGACGTTTGAAAGTCTCTTATTCCAGATCAATGAATCCACCAGAACCTTTCCAGAGTTCAGGAAATGTTCTAGGCATTGAAGCACAGATGATGCTAAAAAGCTATAGCAGATCAGATGGCTTAAGATAGAATACTTATCAAAACTGGCTATGTTTACAGGATTCAATGGGAGATCACAAATTGGTAAAATGTCATTTTACAATGATTGAATCCTTGAAAATGGCTGAAGGGGACCCTAAGTCATTCTGTAACTATATATTAGCAATAACATATAAAATATGTACTCATTCTTTGCCTCTCAAGTTGCCATTTCTTCTTCCCATCTTGTACATTTGGCAACATTTGATATACTCAGACAAAAACTGTTGTTTCCACTTTGTCTTCACCAGCACACTGCACTTAAAATCATTACTATCACAACCTTTCTCACTAATACCAGCTCGCTCATTGTGGAACATGATTAAATAATGAATCTTAATGTGTTGAGTTCTGTTAAAAAAAAAAAAAGACACACCTTTCAGTTGTTAAAATACCATCTTCAACTTTTATGGAACAATTCAAACAGGAGAGAGCATTGTCATACCCTGACATGCAAGCATCCTTTGTCCTACCTGTCAGTACCTGTGAACTTATGACAAGGTTTCACTCCCTGTGGGTAGTCCAAACTGTTATTGTTCTGTGATAGTTTTGAAATGAGATCCATACTTTTGATGAAGTACGAACATCAGGAGTACCATCATCAAATACAGTTATTTCTATTAGAAACCTATTTAGCCAGTACCTGGCATGCAGTGAATGGTTTAATTCTCCAGAGGAATGGGGGGATATCAAGGACAGAGATCTGTAGACTGAAGGTATTCCCTTTGAAATGCAGCAACTTTGGTTCTTCCAGTAACTGTCCACCTTGATGCCTTTCATCTGAAACTACTTCCTATAAGAGAGGGAGGGAAGAAAAAAAAAAAAAAAAAGAGGAACAACAATGAAGTATCTAATCATTTTATAATCATCTTTCCATGGGGATATATCTTCATAAGCATATATCTCCAGAAATAGACAAACATAGTGGACACAATACTTTAACAGACCCATGCTTGCAAAACTCAAGACCAAGATCTAGAAACAGCTGCATGACAAGAATTTCACCAGAAAGAAATGTGTTTATTACTTGTGCTGCTTAGGCTTTGAAAGACACTATGCATTTCTTTAAAACTTTAAGACTTCCCATGCCCCAACGAAATTGTAATGTTGAGTTTTCACATTTGTATACATCTCATTCTGATGTGATCATAATCAAGGGATGTATCTGTACTTACCTTGACACATCATCGTGTTTTACAATAAGGGTAGAAGAAAGCATCTCTCTCCCTTTGCCCCTAATCTGTTTACTTCTTCATCACTATCTCAGACATTATCCAACATTTATGTCATACTTATTTATGGTAATGTTCACAAACATTATGCCAAAATGCCAAGAAAAAAGTTTATCAAGTTAGTTTCAGCTCAGGAAAAAAAAAAAAATCAATCAGGGAGAAGGACCAGAACAGGAGTGAGGAGAACACAAGAAACTATAATGATGGTGCACAGGTGAATTGGTGGTGGGAATTTCACCAGGAAACCATACATTGTACAAAAATGAAGGATGCTATAATAAATATATCTTAGTTTAAAAAATAGGTCTGTACTCAAAAAAGGAAAAAAAAAGCAATCAAATTCAGGTAAATTGTCCTCTGTCTTTCACTGAAAAATCTTTATATGTAGTAAAAACACAATTCATGCACATTCTATTGAGTAAATCATTTAATTGGTTCCAAATTTGTAGTGTTTAAAATCATATTGGAGATGATAGGATAAATAAAATAATAGATATGAATTCTCAAAATTGTTAACCTGTTGGTTGGGGTGAGGGTTTTATTAATGGAGATAACAGATCTTTCTAAATCCATTTTTAAGATTGCCATTAATTGACTTAGTTTCTTAGTAGAGCTAGGATAAATAAGAAAATGGAAATCCTTTAATCATGCATAATCTTCCTAAACTCTAAAAAAGCTTGTAAGAAGGAAGGCAACTAGATTTATAAACATGCACTACACCTTACATTTATCAGGGAGTAAAAACAATTTCAGTTTACCTTGCCATCTCTTGTCTATGTATAGGAAAACATTAATAAAAATACTTCTGACCAAGAGGCAGCTGTTCTACTTTTACCTTTCACTTAAACCATTAACAGATTGCTAGTCTCTTTTCTCAGGACTAAATGATTTAGTTTGTGTCATTTTCTCTGGCATCGGTCTGACTGGTGTGTGGTGGGGTTGAGAGGGAAGCCGTTTCTTGGACTCTGAGGTCAATGTTGAACTCTGTGATGGTGGAAATATTCTATATAGTCTCTGTGCAATATGGCTCTCACTAGCCACAGAGACTTTTTGTTCTTGAGTTGTGGTTAGAGTAAAGACTTGAAATTTTCATTTTAATTATTTTAAATATCCCCCAAGGTGAGCAATGACTGTACAGAATGGTGCAGTGCTAGGTAGTAATCTTTATGTTGTAGATATAGAGTGGGCATGATTACATGGTCACTGGGGTCCAATGGGAGCTGCACATGTGAAAGGAAAATTGTGAGGTGGAGGGAGGGAGGGAGGGAGGGAGATTCACTTCAAATGGTCATCTCTGGTTTCTTCTTTGGAGGTTCAAAGAGGGGCCACAGTATCTCTGCTTGAGCTGGGTTCTGGCTGTAGAGAAAGGAAAAGTCTTTGCCCAAGCAGCTCATGGTCTAGTGATAGGGCAAGGTGTAAAAAGTATTTTATTTTTATCTGAGGATGATTACCATATGTAAATGCCTGGGAGTTTAGGGCAGGCCAGAATGAGCCTAGCCAGAAGAGAGGAGAGGTGAGGATGCAACTCAGGAAGTGAACGGAGGTCATGACATTTCAGTGGAACCTTGAAGTAATGCAAAGGTTAGTCACACCGTATGGACAGAGAGGATATTCCAGAGGGTTAAGGGTGCACAAAGGCACTGAGGCCAGTCAAAGCAGGGACAGAAGGTTAGGGTAGAACGTGAGTGAATGGAGGTGATGATAATGTAAGGCAGAGGCCAAATCTTTCATTCTTGGTTGCTGTACTTTGTATTTTCTTTGAAATTAGTGTTGCTTAGGCTTTAAGGTGACTAGGAATTTTTGGGTAGTTGTATATGCTCAATAGAGTACAAATCTTACAAATCAAAACTGGAAGCATAGTATTCTAATCATGTTTCCATGTGATCTTGGGTAGGTTAATTTTGGAGCTCCTCAGTTCTTGCTTGAATTTATTCATAGCCAGGCAAAATAATTAGCATAACATAGTAACTTTATTAATACTTTGTAATTCTAGAGCAAGGTTAAAATCCAGTGCAAATAGGAAACATGCTTACTAATGTCATATCAAAGCCATCAAATAATAAGTGTTGGCTTTTCAAAATATATTTAATTGGGCTCTCTAAAATGTATCCCTTTCCTTTAAACCTAACTTGTCTGCATGTACAGAGAAGAACACTGAGGTCACTTGAGTAAGTGACTTGCTCAAGGTCAGTCATGCATTGCTTTTGTTGAGTTAGGCTATTTTAATATTTAGAAATTACACAGAATCATCGTGCCAGTAGGGAAATTAAGTTTTAAGACACTATTTCACTTACAGATGAAAGCATGGAAACATTCCTCCTCCCCCTTCCCACCTGCCCCTCCTTATTTGCCTAAAGCTATCTATTAGAAAGACTTAAGACTCAACTTGATGATGGTCTAGCACATTCTCTACTGTATTTCCTGGTTTGCCTAGACAAGGCTAAGACTGACTATTTTTTTTTTTTTTTGAGTCATCTGAAGGTCAGACTGCTATTAACTCTATACCATAAATATTTTTTCATTGGTGCAAGATATTTGTAAAGATGACATAAGTCAGTGTGTATTGCCGAGGGATATATATTCTGTCTAAGCAATCTCTGAAATGCAGAGTGAAGACTAATGGGGGTTTTAGAAATGGATATCTGCTTATAATTATCACAGAAGGAAACAGTACCTATTCAATTTATGTGTTTGAGGGTTTCACATTTAAATACTATTATGATTAATTTTTGCTTTTTTTTTTAGCTCACTTTAATCTCTACATATTGAAGCAACAAGATGCAATTAAGTGTCTTGTAATCTTGCACAAAATATAAAACAATTATAGTTCTGTAACAAAACAATGAATTATTAAAAGGAAGAAGCCCAATAGTGAAGTAATCATTGTATTTGTGTTTGTAGAGGCACAGTTGGCTGGAAAGTTAAATAAACTCCTGAGTTTGAACTGCAAAATCTCCAAATAGAATAAATTGTACTTAGATAAGAATTCCCAGTTGTGCCCTTCACCTATTGCATGGTCTCAGGCACCAGCATCTGTGTGTATGAATAGTTCTCAGGTGGTGCTTATACCCAGTCCGGTCAGAAATAAGGGATACCAGCAGCTCTGTTGAGCTACTTCTGAGTCTCTCATGTGGCTGGAGTGCTGTGACAGAGGCCTGCTAATCATCTGACCCTTCACTGTCTGCCTCCTTCTGTTCCAATCCTGGTCTACTGCGAACATGCGATCTACGTTAATTAAACTAAGAAATAGGGTCTGGCCCATTTCTTGTACATAGTAAACTGAAGGCTCTGGTTGGTGTTTTTTGTAGTCTCTCCATCATTTCACACTGGGGGTTGCTAATCATTCCATCCTAGGAGTTGTGGCCAGGAGAAACTTGTGCTTCGTGCCCCACTGGGCTCTTTATGCTGATTTAATGAGACAGGAGCAATATTCAGGTGTGCTTCAGGGTACTAAAACAGGCAGGCTGAATTTACATACTTATGAGACAGAAGTGTTCGAATTTCAGCATGAGCTCATGTGAGGACATACACACACACACACACACACACAAACATTTCACTGTGGTGGTTTCTCTTAGATGTTTTACGTGAACAATATTTCCCAAGCTTGCATTATTGATAAATACAAGAACTACATCTGGAGGAAATCCTTTGAAATTAGATTCTAAATCCACATTAATGCCAAGTAAGTGATGAATACTGAGAGGAACTGTATAGGAGAGCTGGGAACATCAGAGAAATAAATGTGGTGGTATTTTTTTTCCTTCAAAGATAGAACAGTACTTAATTGTGTGCTTTCCTAGCCCAAGATCTCTTAGAGTTCTGTATCTGTGTGTATATATGTAATAAAACACAATAACTAAATCCTGTGTTTAAAAATGGTACTGCTTCGAAACTATTTCACTGTTTCTCACCTTTCACTTTGATTTCATCAAAGGATGGGATATCAAACGAACTAAAATGGCAGCTTTAGTTATTATAGAAACTAAGAAGTAGGAAGGATAAGAAATCATTTGCTTTTTCACTCCTGGCCCTTTTCACCTTCAGACAGGTAGCAATTTTATTTTAAAAAATCTGAGCTGATTTAATTATCCATAGAAATGGTTTTTGATGTATTTTATCAGAACAAATCTGCAAAAACAAACTATCTTACCAAGGCGTATGAGGTATTTTGTCATTCAAAGAAGCTGCTACTTTATTTCTGATAGAATGTCTGCAGAGCAGTTGAAAGGCAACCAACTTAACTCTTCAGGCAGTAGAGAAAGGAGGGAGTGACTAAAAATAGAGAATGTTTAATTACGAAAGTCATTTAATGGAATATTTTCTCTAGTGGTACCATTATATTGCTGGACCATCTCCTGTTTCTAAAAGGATAGCAAATTGGGCCTGGAAACACATTCTGGGTTTTCTAGTAAAGGGTGGGCTGTAATGTGTTCTATGTGACATCATTTCCCAGTGAGATATGAATGAACTAAAAGATGCAACTGTGGCCTCTAATCAGGTTTTCTTCTTGGTTAAGAGCACAGTTCTAGAGGGACACATATTTGCTATGATTTCTCTGAGATATGAAGGCTGCACTGCAATAAATACAGCAACTGTCACAGCCATGCTTGTGTCTATTTCAAATCATGACAAACATTTTCATCATAGTGATAGCAGAGGCAAGTTCCAGGATGGGCAATTTCTGCAGAAATGCTTCATGAAAACCTACATATTATTTTTGATTAAGAAGTTAGAGTTCTATCAGAGTTACAGAAAATGAGTCATCACTGTATATAATATTTTCAGCTCATAACCACACGAGTTGTTGGAGCTAATATTAATGTGTGAAGTCTGAGAGGTTCAAAAAGTGAACTGTTGCTACGGCTTCCTTAAAGTGGAATGGTTTTAATGGGTTAGTAACTATATAATTTTCCCCTCTAATTAAATGCCACATAAGAAGTCATGAAAAATAGGACATAGATGATTTAGAAGATGATAGTGGTTAAATGGTACTCTGTAGCAGGTCTTGAATACCTTTATTTCATATGGTAAAAATCCAGAGAGCAAGATTCCCATTAGAAACAAAAACCAATGACTAGAATTCAGGAGTAAATACACAAAAATGTACAAGTCATGCTCTAATCTATCTCTGGGTTGGAAAAGTTATCCAGCCACGTCTGATGATGTCTCAGAACCCTCTGGGGGGAGCGTGGCCTTTGCTGCTCATGGCAGCTGTCACATGCATCCCTTCAATAAGTCCAACCAACTTCAAAATCAGCTCTGTGTGACATAATAAGACAGGGAAAGAGTCACCAGCAATAAATAGATTATGACATATGGGGCCAAAGGCATTTTCACTGAAAAACATTTCTCTATAGGAAAATTAAAGAGTTTTAAGTGATGTCTCTAAATGATAAGGGCATTTGGATTTAATTAGAGGGAAAGAAACACTTTTCCTAGTATTGACTAAAAAGCTGTATTATCCACAGAATGGAGAGTGGTTTGAAAAGCTGTGCTTAGGGCCTCATTTTCACAACTTCCATTACAATTCAGATTTGACTGTGAATAGTTGAGCTGTTGTAGAATCTGGTAGCAATCAACAAGGATGAAAATAGATGATCTGAAAGTGACTTAGAATAAATTCTTTAGACAAATGTCTAACTCACTGGTATAGACATCAGCAGTGAGATCATTATTTAAAGAAATATGAGGGCTGGTTTCCAAGGTGGTCATGTTGAACAGACGTTCACCTTCACACTGGGGGCAGCAGGTAGCTCATGAACCGGAGAACTAGAAAGGTCTAGAAAGCCGCTGAGTTCCTCCTGGCTTTTACTCCTCTTTATGCAACCATCAAAATCTGTCTCAGTTACTAAATATCCAACTCGAGTCATGGGTCCTTTTAGAACTGTTCAAAGGTAGTAATATCTCAATCTAGTCTTCTGATTACTGCTATTGTAGCTTGTCCTAGAGAAAGCCTCTCTTGCAGGTGGAGAAAATTGACAAATGGCAATCATAGGATGGAGTATATCTACGCACGCCGGAATTCTTTATAAAAGCACAATCCTATGGAAAAAACCCATTGTTTTTTGATAAAATATTCTATTTTATTTTTAATTTGTTAATTGAGGTATCACTGCTTTCCATCCTTGCTAATGTTTTGACAGTCTAGGAGATATCCCCTCTCCGTGTAATCACCATAGCCCTCTTCCCACCAAAGCAGTCATAGTCCTTCACTATAGCCTCTTGTTAAACATTCCACTTTAGAAATTTCTTGGATTTATAGAAAAATTACAAGTTAGCAAAGAATCCCCATGCTTTCCTATTCACACCTTACAATAGTATGGCAAATTTGCTAAAATTAATGACCCAATGTTGAGTCATCATTACTAAAGTCCTCACTTGATGCTGATACCTTAATTTTTAATCCGATGTTAGTTTTCTGTTGCAAGATCCTATCCCATTACCACAGTAGTCTAATTATAATGTCTCCTGAGGCTTCTCTTAGCTCTGGCAAATTCCTGAGACCTGACCTATTTTTGATGACATTGACAGTTGAACAGATTGCAAGATGCCCCCCTATTGGAATTTGATATTTTCTCATAAATTATCTGGGTTCATAGGTTCTTGGGAGAAAGCCCACAGAATTTAAATGCCATTCTCACTACACCCTATCAGGAGTATATACTATCCACGTATCTTATACTGTTAAAGTTAACCTTGATCACTTGCCAGATTTCTCTACTGTTAAGTTACTCTTTAGTTCCCACAAAGCCCACTTTATGAGCTGCCAAATATTGAGCGCCCTTCATGATGAGCTGTGTCACTTAAGAGAGAGAGCGTGAAAGGCTTGAGGACATGGATTGGCAGTGTCACCTTTACTGGCTTATGTTCAGGATCTAGGTCATTGTATCTTTTCTATTGGTAAACATGAGTTTTTCCAGCTCAGTGTTTTAAAAGCTAGTTACTGAGGAAATGCTCTGCATAATGGACTTAATGATCCAGGACTGGAATAGCAGGGATCTGGAATGAGGTGTGTCAGGAGAGTGATGCTATTTATCTATGGGCAGAGCTTACACAGATACTTCTACATTATCCTTGTGCTATTAATAAACTTGCACTCTTCATGAGTAGCTAATTTAAAATGAATCTTACATGATTAAAAGTACCAAAAATGGAAAGGAACCTTGAACTGTCTCTGCCCTAGTAGCCCTAATAATTAATAGACTATGCATCTGGGATCTAATGACTATCTGCTGAAAGGTATGATTTATAATTGTTGTTCCCTAACTACAACCTTCAGCTGAGTCAAGCAATGTTCTCACTGCTAATAAGCAAACTTGTGTGCCCTCTGCCCATCAAATCACCAAGTTCCTTGGCTCAGGCCATTCTCCATTCCTGATAATGTAAATCTTTTCCTTTACTCATCCAGGTGTATGATCTAGCCACGATGATTTACAAAGGGCTCTCAAAGATTCTTCTCCAATGCCTCTATTGCTATTGGCTATTTGTTTTTTGAATCCTCACTTGATGGTAGTCAGTTTTGTAATAATACCTAGTTTTGTAATAATTTATATAATTTACAAAATTTTATATTTAAAATATAAGTACTTTTATAATCATGAAAGCTGGACAAATCATTAAGTGACTTCTAGTCACTTTACTATAACACAATGTGCTAACTATTCTTTCCCCTCATGTCCTCAGCTATCACTACATTATTGTACATAAGGAATCATAGCTTTGCTTCAAGATAGGCATCCTCAACAAGTCAGCGGTATGGTCTCATTTTCCAGACCTCTTTCAGTAGAATTGTCCATTGATGCTGATACTTAGATAACCCTATGCTTTCACAATACCAAAAGGAGAATTTAAGAAAAAAGGCTGACCTGAAATGCACAAGGGGTATTGTCCACACAGTACACTCTCAAGTTGTAATCCAGAGAGTTACAGGACATGCAGCCAAAGACCGCCACTTTGAGTTGCTTCACGGCGCAGTCTGTGATTGGTTCTCCAGTGAGGGCATAGGTCCCAAAGCTGTCTAGAAGCACGTGACATGCAAAGGGATCCAAAAGGCAGTAACAGGATGTAGATTCGTCCTCCACTGACATCACTTCCTGTTAGAAAAAGTTATGTTAAACTCTCTCAACTTGGATAGAAGATGTGATCTAAGACTTTGTAAGGACATGTACAGTTGAATCTACCCCTACATATGTGAATAAGCAGGCATAAGTAATATTTTAGAATACTTTTATTGCCTTTTCTTCATGTTAAACAATATTCCTCTTCTGTCAAAGTAGCCACTTATATCAGGAACTTTAGAAATGTCTATATTCCGTGTGTTTAGAATTCTACTTAACAGATTCGAACAAACACTACTTTGAAAGTTTTCCTGTTTTCAGTTACTTTGTTCAATGTCAAATTAAAAAAAAAAAACCAAAACCAAAAAATGTCTTGAATGTTATCAGTAAACAAACTTTCATGTTTTTAAAAATCTGTTTCTGATTTCTCTTCCATATCCATAAGGTGTAATGTATATTTTCTTTCAACTACTTCATCTTTTTTCTTTCCCCCAAAAGCGCTCACAAAAGACCATTATACAAATGGTTTGGATAAGATATACTGGAATATATCACCCTCTCTGACAAGAATTTGGTATGGGTAACTGGTTTGATAGAACATAAATATAATACCTCTGGATGTCAAAGACTGTGAGAAAGTGCTTAGAAGAAAAACTAAAGTGGTAAAATTCCAGGCAAAGCAAACATAATGGAAAAGAGACCAGAATCTGGTCCTTTTATGAAACCCATAGAACTTCATGTCCCAGGAAATTTGTCTGTGGCTGTACTACAAGTATAACTAACAGATTATAGTTCCAACAAAGAATATAGACTAATTTTAAGACATAGCTGAACAGGGTAAACGTAGCCCATTGAAGCAACTTGGGGATTTTTTTACTCCTAAAGAAACATGCTTTTCCTTTTACTGCTTTTCCTGGAGTTCCACCTAGGAGGTCAAAATCTCAGGACTAGCTGGAACAGGTCATTGTGTTCCAGCAAGATAATTCGCCTGCTTTCATGCAAACTGACTACAGATGGACATAAAAGAAACCCTATCAGACAGATAAGTCAGAGGTTTCAGTTAAAATAGCAATTCCACTGTAACCTTTCTTTGCTGTGACTGTCTCCCTTGTTAACCCTCCTTTTTATGTAGGGTTCATTTCCTGTGTCTTGTTTTCTCCTTGTGATGCATCTCTTTAGCTGGACTCATATGCACAGGGGAAGATGCAGAATCCTTTCCAATGCATTCATTAATTCACTAAAACACACTGAGCACTAACATATTGGTGAACACTTAGTTGCTATAATCCCTATGATAGCAAAAACAAATAGTGATTTTTTTTTTTTTTTCAAATGAACACAGCCCGCCTAAACCACCTCTCTATACAGAGACCTCAGAAGAAAGTCAATTCAGATAGGGATGTGACTTGAGAGCTCTTAAGAGTCAGATTTTTACATACCAAAGACTATCCTTGAGAATACAAGTCTGTGTAGGTTACAACTGAATTCGAAATTCAAACAAAAAACCTCCTGTCCTCTTGCCTCTTTTTCCATGACCCTAGACACACAGTAACCAATGCCTGAGGATGCTGTAAAGTCTTACATGCCATCAACCCTCTGTAAAAGTAAGAAAATGCTCACCATCTTAAGAGAGTAAAGTTCAATCGATCCCACTGGTGATATGCAAATCAATTTTATTATTTTTAAAATTTTAAAGTCCTATCAATTCATCACATTACATAGGTTTCAGGTGTGCATGATTTATACATCATCATCTACATTTATGTCAGTTCACCACTCTATAAGTCTATTCCAAATCCTGCTTTTTTAAAAAGGAAGAACATGGTCTCACCTCCCACTTGCCCTGCTGTGTCCTCTTCTTTAAGTGGATGTTCCAGTGCTCTGAGCTGACATCTGCACAGTGTGGAATGGTCAATGCAAAGGGAGTGGTCACAATCATGTCCGGTGGACCGCAGGTGACTTCAGGACTCAGGAGCACTTCGGATCCATCTGACTGCAGGCTTTAGAGTAGGCAAAGGATGAAAGGAGGGGAAATGTTGGCATGAGAATTTAGTTCCAGGCTGAGAAAACTTCCTTTCCAGGATTCCCTCTTGGTGGCACATCACAGCAGAGAGAGAACTGGTGTGATGGCAGGCATGTGGCCTGAACCAGTCCAGAGACAGACTGCATGTGAGCCCAACCTAGGCTTTGAGAAAGTGACAAATCCTTCAGAAATATATAACAGAAGAGAAAAATACCTGGCTGGTGTCTCTCTCTCTCACACACACATACATACATGCATACAAGTACACCCCCCCACACACAACCCTTTACACACACACAACCCTATACACGCATACAACCCTATATACACACATTCTGTCCCCCTTTGAATCCTTACTCTTGGTGGTAAAATCATTAATGACCAAAGCCAAAATATTTAGGGAAATGATCAATCTGGTCATCTTACCATCAGATTCCTTTCTTCCAACACATATTCTACAAATATTTTTAAAAGTGAGAAAACTAATTATGGAATAAAACCACATCTAACATGCCTGGTTTGGGAAATATTTACCTTCTACCAGCTCACAAATCTACAGGTGACAGTAGACCATTGCCATGTGCAGAAATCAAATCTATAAATACAGATGTCCCAACTCTTTCCATAGTGAAACTTAAGTAAATGGAGATAACACTTCCACTGAATGCCTCCCTCTTTCATGCCCTTATCTCCTGATTCTAATCTCTGTGCCAGCATGAGGGGGGTCTGTAGGACAGCAGCCCGAAGAATCAGAATTCTACTTACTTACTTTTCACCTACTACTTATGTGGTTTTCACCTACTACTTATGTGATTTTGCAAGAAATGTAGAGATTCAGAATACAGTCAGTGAAATAATTTAGGACTCTCAAATGAACAGCATTACATTAGAGCAAGGCTTGGTATCGATACCTAGGTTTTCACTCACCCTACCTAGGAAGGACATTTAAGTAAAACAAAAACAAAACCCTTTGAGTAAGATAAAGGTGAAATTAAGTTCCAAAGATACCACTTTTCTATGATCTTGTGCAAAGTATTTCTATGATTATAGTAGCATGATATTAATTTCTGAACTGCTTTAGTTGCTATCACTTGTTCTCTCAAGTTAAACAGTCCCATTCTAGCTTATTTCTATAATTTGCTGCTCAATAAAACTCAAGGCACATAACTGAGCAGGAACATCTCACATCTCCTGTAGCTAACAGAGCTGAGGATGACTGCACTGACTCCCCCTCCCCAAGAAACAATGGAGACACCTTCAGAAAATTCAAGTGTTTTACACAGGCAGCGAAGGCCCAAAGTTGGTGATTCTTCCCACACAAGCAAAGCCTAGGATACACTGGAAATATATCTGCATTTACCTGTAAGCAGGGCAGGCCAGCAGGAGAGTGGGATCGAAAAGTAGCATGTTAATAACAACAAATGCTCTCCAAACAGCCTAGAACAAAATACTTTAGGCTGGGAGAAAATGTAAAACCCCACTGTGAGCTAGCAGGGAGCAGCAGCCTGCACGTGGATGCCTGCCAGTGGCCGCTAGGGAGGGTGAGGTGCCTCCCATGAAATTGGTACCCACATTCATCTCAGACAGGGGTGCTTGCGAGTGACCGATGACAAGCGCTCTTAAAAGAGCTATTTAATTGCTTTCAGAGAATCCTCTCCCTTGTTGAACATATTGCTCAAACATATGGGAGTTTGGGGAATTATTTAATGCCAAATGAACTGAAATCGGCTAATTAGATGAACTCTCACACTCGTTGTGAATAGTGAGGCTCGGCTACGTAATAACCTCTACAGCATTGAGAGTCAGGGGTGGAGTGTGGAGTGGGAGGGCTGCCTTCAACAGGCACTGGGCATTCCATATGTGCAAAGGAAATCAAGACTTACAGCTAATCCTCCTCCTAGTGTCTGTGGCTGAAGGTCTCTGCTGAGGAACAATACCAACCCACTTTTCCTCTCATAATAATAATATGCCCTTTATTTCCATCTTATATTTGTGGCAGTCAGGGAAATTTACACATATTAAAGTTCTTCATATACCCGAGGGGGGAGATGTTGCAACATCAGGACATACAGTGCCAGCAAGCCACCACTTAACCCTAAATGTTGGATGCCTGGCTTCCGCTATCTGAGACAAAATGTGCTTTCCTTCCCTGGGACTTTTGGGCCAATCACCGGCTCTCATGCATTCCAAGAAAAGATGGGGCAACTGAACACACCTTGAGTGTGAGTGTTGTCACAGCTGTAGGTTAGGACACCTGAGGGCAGGTGGCCAGGGAGTGAGGGGGGCTTTCGTGGGCCTGGACAAAGATGAAGGCTTGTCAGGAAAGCACACTGGCACAAAAGTCCCATGTACAGAAAATGTGATAAGGAAGAATTCATGTTCCTGCTGGGGGGTGGGGGTGGGGGAGAAAGCAACACATTTTTCTAAAATTGCTGTGAGCTAATAATAACTGTGAATTAATACCAGCAGTGATTTCAGGACCATCATAAAACCACCTCGGCACATTATACACCCTCGCGTAGATGGGAAAATCTGCCTGCATGGGACTTTGCTGCTTAATTTTTCATTCTGTTCTCTCTCTCTCTGTGTGTGTGTGTGTGTATGTATGCTGTGCATGCTTATGAATGCTTATGGGTATAAAAAGATCAATAATTTAAGAGCCAGGTCTGCATAACCAGGTGGTTTGTTGAACAACTGTATGGAAACATAGTTGTGAATTCAAATGCTCATATAGCACCACTGATGGCTCTGTGTAGGGGAGTCCCAGATTCTCCAGCTTTGTGGTCCGATGTACCCAATATACACCTGCACAGATGAACGCAGATATAAATGTTATGGGGATATTTTCCTTGGGAATCTGGTAACAGCAAGAGCTCTTCTAGTTAACAACATGGTTAACCCATTTTAGTTATCAGAAAAGAAAACTAGAGCAGAATAGCTGCAGAGAACACATGAAGTGGGTAACAGAATACCCTAAAACTCTCCCTTGAGCCCTCACATTGCTTTTTATGAATTGCCCCCTAAAACATGTTTCTTGACTATTTCTGTCACGAAAATCAGTGTGGCAGAGGGGAAAGCCCAAGAGGTTTTTTTTTTTTTTTTAATTAAAAGAGAATGCTATTTTTCTTCATTGAGACAATGCTGGTTTACAGCACTGTCTATGTGCAGGTTCACAACTCTTCAAATGTATATCACCATACCATGTGCACCACCTACCCCTACCCCACACCTAAGCCCTCTAACCCTTCAACACTGCCCATTGGATTGCCCCCACCCCAGACCTAAGCTCCCCTAACCCTCCAACACTGTCCATTGGATCCCCCACCCCCACACCTAAGCCCCTCTAGTCCTCCAGTACAGGCCGTTGGACCCCCCTCCCCCAAAAGCATTTCTGAGCCTCACTTTTCTAACATGGAAAATAACACCTACTCTAAGATTGTTTCAGGAGTCAAACAAAGCATAAAACACACCTACACTGTACTCACTGAGTGAAGGTATATGCCTAACATGGCAAATCCTGAGGGGTGTATACTATGGACATTTAAGGCACCTTAGGAGACACCAGTCTCCTCACTCTCATCCTTGCCTCCCAGAAGAATCCCACCGACACCACCCTACACCTACCTCAGGGAAATGCAGCTGTCTGTGCCACCTGGGAGTGCTCAGTGCAGCCTGGGAGTTTTCCTCTAGAAGCCACACAACTAGCTCCCCCAAACCCACAGGTCTTTGCTCAAATAACACCTAGTCATGAGGCTCCCCTGATCCTGGCTAAGCAACATAATTGCAACACTGCCTACTCCAAAAACTGATCTTTGCTTTTCTTGTTCTCCATAATGCTTATTGCTTCCTAATGTACTATACCATTTGCTTATTTTTTTTTTTCCCTTTCACAAACTGAATACAGGTCTATTAGGCCAGGTGTTTCCCCCCCACCACCTGCATTTTGTTCATTGTTGTATTGTCAGTACCTAATATATACTTGCCGTAAGCTCTTAAAGATATTTGTTGACAGTGGTTCCTACTGATAAAATCTGGAACATTTTGATCATCAAAACAAATACTAGTAGTAAAATAATATAACACATTGAATAACATTAAGGATGTATGAAACAGAGAGAGAATGAAAGAATGAGAATGAAAAATGCTTTCATGAAAAAAAAATTATAATCATTTGGCAAACACCATATCAATGCTTGATTCAGTGAAGAATTCTGAATGGATCCTTATCAATGTAGTGAAAGTGTGAAGATCAAGAAGCTGTATAGTTTCAAATTATCTTCCCACAAAGCCCTTATTTATAAAGGATAAATTTTACTTTATAGTGGAGAACCTAGGCAGAAACCATCTAACAAAGTTATCAAAATTAACACTACCAGGGCTGGTACGAATGGTGGCAGAGACTTCTGATATGACAGTGAAAAGTGTTCAGCATCACTTTGTATCCTCCCTGCCAATAAAACATAGCATGTATCTAATCAAAAGGATGTGCACTCTTAGCCCTGGCCAGTGCTTTGAACTACAAAGGTGGACCCAGAAACTAATCCAGATTAAGGAGAAGCAGATCTTACGACGACAGAATATTATGAATGGACTTGGATTTTTGTTTGCTGTGAAGAACATTATCTGGATAGGTGAAATACAAAGCCCATGGGATAAATAATAGTGTAGTCCCAGTGTTTATTTCTGACTCGTTTGGTAATCACGCTTTATGTAAGATAATTTCTTATGTTTATGTTAAACTCACTGAAGAACTATCTAGGGGCAAAGAACATTTGTTCACAATGGTTAGAAAGTGTGCCAGTGTATTCTAATTGTGTGCATATAACATATACACATACATATGGACATGTACACATGTGCATACATACACATGTACTTGATATATGGAAAGAGAAGAGCCAATGTAACATTAAGATTTTTGAATCTGGGTGTGAGGTAGCTGAGACTTCTTTATATTGTTGTTGCAACTTTTCTATA